TAGGAACCTCCACGCCATGCTAACCCTAAACCACTTAGATAGACCTCCATTGCAGAGTGACATATAAAAACACTCCAAAACTATTCTCCTGTAGAATGAGGAATAGCAGCATACAAGAGCTGCATCTCTGGATGTGATTCAATTTAAGGTAATAAGGCTATTCAAGTTCTCAGTGGTTTGCATGACTGCTGCTGACCCTTCTCAGAAAAGGCTCCTGTGGCCAGCTCATCATCCTTGCCGCATCCATAGACAGCAGTAGTCTTTGCAAATATGGCTGAAAGGGTTAATTGACTGAAACACTGCTGCATCCAGACTTCTAAACTGAAACCATATGTGAATGAAAGGCAAGACTTCATCCAGTCTCTGAGTCATGTCTTACAATCCTTAAAGCTTCAAACAAGGCTCTTCTTGGAGAAGGTTATGAAGCCCCAACAGTCATTGGGCTGAATCAGAACAATCCTTTCCCAGAACAAATAACTAAAAGAAGAAGGTGTATGCCCACAGTCAAATGTGATTTCCCCTTTGGATGTGACATTCCAAAATATCTTTAAAGTTCCCAACTTTTACCGCTTCTGTATGGGTGTGAGGTAGTCAAATCAGATGAGTATCTTGCAGTGAATATTTTTTAAATGCATATATCTATGATATATTAATAAAAAATTGTTTGGAAGAATGTTTAGAGCAGGAAATAAGATGCATTCATGACACACATATCTTTCCATTTTTAAATTGCAGGGACGATTCATGTATTGAATTTGTAAAATTTGACTGTATTTTTAATACATTTTCCAGAGGCGTAGCAACTGAGATTTAGTATTATAATATCCTCTCCTCCAATTTCAGGTTAAAATAGAATACAATAAAAACTTTAGTGTCACTTTAAATGTACCCTACTCAGCATACATTAAAATGAAATTTTGTTGCATTCAGCTCTCAAAAAATAACCATTATGTATATACTCACATACCCACACCTATATGATGACACAGAGAAACATCACAGTCTAGTTGGGATGTATACATATATATGGCCAAAAAGAAGAAGAAGAATCCTGAGAGTTTACAAGACGGGTGGCATTAAGGAACAAAGCTTTTACAGAATCTAGTAGTCTATATAGATATTTCAAATCCTTCTCCTGAGGGGAGTAACAGAAACTAACTGTGAAGTGGGTGGGTGTGGGTCTCTAATAATACTTCAAGTTCTAAGCACATAGCGCTTATAAGCAGTATCCTGTATAATGGGAAATCAGCTTCCTGTAATCTTCTCGGCTGTTCTTACCCCTCTCTGTATGGACCTTCTATTTGAGGCACTGCTACCATCAAACCAAACAGTGATGCAGTTTGTTAAAATGCTCTCAATTGTGCCTGTGTAAAAAGTGGCCAGGACAGGAGAAAGATGTGCTCTCCTCATCCAACGCAGGAAATGCAAACATGGTTTGCGCACTTCACTAAAGAGAACAGATGAAGAGACCAAGTCAGATTGTTAGTTAGCTGCACCCCCAGATACTTAATACTGTTGACCACCTCCACAGCTGCAGCCTTGATACAAATTGGAGTATGACTATACCAGTTCTTTCTAAAATCAACAATGATCTCCTTTGTTTTGTTAACATTCAAAACCAGGTTATTTTTATTGCACCAGTCCACCAGAATCTTCACTGTCATCCCGGTTAAGCCCCACCCCTGCCATGTCATCCCAATATGATTTGTAGCAGGCTTGGCACAGCACTCATGGCTCATCAAGGTGAACAGTAACAGGCTTGAGACACAGCCCTGTGGGGAACCCGTATTCAAGGAAATGGAATTGGAAACTTTTCTTCCAACTCTCACAAACTGGGGCCTATCAATAAGGAAATCAAGTATCCAATTACATAAAGAAGTATTAAAACCTAATAGGCCCAGTTTGTTCACCAAATACTAGAGAATGACTGTGCTGAACGCCAAACCAAAATCAACAAACAGCATTTTGCACATCAGTATTCTCCTCCTCCATGTGCACCAAACTAAGATGAAGCAGACAAGGAAGTGCATCACTATGCACTATACACTAAAGAAGTTTGGCTGAACTTTCATAACATTTCCACTCTTCAATATTAATACCATCTACATTCTAATTGATTTGCTGTTGTTGTTTGCTTGCTTTGTTTTTGCTACGGTTTGACAAATTAATTCAATGCATATTGGATTCTTCACATATACCCAGAAGCTTGGGAATGAGCTGCTGTATTTGGAGAAAGTCTTGTCCTTTTGTGGACATCTCATGCTATTTTGTCAATAGCATATTGTTACCAGAAGCAGCAGCAAATTTGGAATCCAGACATATGTGTCTGTGAGTTGTCACATCCTTGTGATGCCATAAATTTAAATTGAATCCACTTATTTTGTCTTCAGTTGGGCAAAAGAAATGACAGGCGATTGATATAATACAAAATACTGATTCTAATTAATTGTTGTTGATAATAACATCAATATTTCCTCCTATACCTCGGTAACCAAAATGTGTCAGCGCTCTCTCTCTCTCTCTCTCTCTCTCTCACACACACACACACACGCACACACACACACACACACACAGAGGGAGGGAGAGAGAGAGAGAGAGGTGATCTTGAATCTGTTGTGTGCATATTCTAGATGAGGATCATTGTTTGCCTTGTCCAAGGCTTTGAGCATTGTAAAGAGAATAAAATCACTCCATTTTCAATTGCCAATGGTTCATTTTTTACTCTAAACATATACATTTTGTTTTCTACTTTCTGCTCTTGAAGTCAGTAACCAGACTGGTTTTCCCTGAAGAGACAACAGAAGTCAGTGAAACCACATAAGCGATCAAAACAAGCTTATATTGCACCGCAGCTCCCTCACTTACTGTGTAATTGGCCCAACATCACATTTGTTTAGACACAGAGCCTTATAAACACTAAACTTGGTAACCATGAATGGTCTCATTGAGGTCAATAGAATTTACATGGTAGGGTTGTTAAACATGTTTACAAGCATGTGTGATCTGAGCCCTGGTAAATTGTTGTAACTGAGTAAAGGATTCTACAGAATTTAAAAATAGTTTTGGCTATCTGATTTACTCTTGTGGATAAGTTTTAAAACCTTATCCCTGTAAGGCAGATCCATTATTCTTTTTTTTAATCTCTTCAAGCAGCAAATGTTAGTTAATTTAAAAATCAAAACAGGTTCACCTATTAAACAAGTCTTACTACTGTCATTAAGACTTTTGGCAGTTTTGATTTAAATGAATATTCATTTCCCAATGCAATCTTAATGCACCTTTTCTAGGACTGATTCAAAAACTATTTTATTTTCAAAGCCATGTCATTGATTTTATATTCATGTAAAAGCAATGTTAAGGAATTAAACAAATAAATAGCTGTAGTACATTTTGACTCAATCTTCTTTAATTTTTATTGGAAGTATTTCTTATAGAATGTCTAGTTATTTCTGGAAGGTGCCAAGATGAGAAAAGCTACCTTAATTCCTTTTGTTGTTTTTTAAATTTTTAAAAATTGGGTTTTACCACAAAATGTCATTTTTCCTAATTCCAGTTATTATAAATTTGAAACTTTAATTGCCATTCTGCCAAATTTTAGGACCATAGGCAAAATAAAACCCACACCTGTGTACCCTTAATAGTTAAGATCACTTCTCTTTTCTGTGTTTAACATTTGAAGTTTACAATGAAGCATAACCATTAAATTCTCTGAGCTCGATAACCTAATCTGATAAATACATTGTTCAGTTCAATATCTTAGCATGAGCATAAGCAGTTGTTTTTTCAGATATAATTTGAAATAAATGGTTACGGTTACCCACAACTTTGCAGACCATTCAACATTTTAAAGGTCTATCATAATTTTATTCTGCTTTTCTCTTAAATTGTGAATGTCAGTTCCTGTTCGGAAGAGAATTTTATGGATTTATCATGGTAAGAATATAGGGTGTTTAAGGTGTTGGATCTATACTGAGAAGACCCAGGTTGAAGTACTTTGGTGATCATGAAACACACTGATGACTTTGGATCAGTTATTATTATCACTTACCACAACTTGTCCATGTGGTGGCTACTGGAGAAAAATTGGAGTAAGGTTATTATGTATGTATCTTTGAGTTCTGAAGAAAAAGCTATAAATCTAACAATGAGTATTAAATCTGTAATAATAAAAGATAAATTATTCAGCACATTTCACCTACAGTAGGTGTGGAAATAGTTAGTGGAATTCAATACTTTTTGTTTGTTTGTTTTGAGAATGAAAGCAATAGTAACATTTAGATTTATTTATTTATTTTTATTTTTTATTTATTTGATTTGCCAATTGTTTACAAGATAATAAGTATAAGTGTATACATAGTTGTGAATACATGAAATAGGTACATATAAGAAAAATAAAAGAATAAGAGAAACAATAGGACAGGGACGGTAGGCACGTTGGTGCGCTTATGCACGCCCCCTACAGACCTCTTAGGAAAGGGGTGAGGTCAATAGTAGACAGTCTAAGGTTAAAGTTTTTGGGGTTTGGGGAAGAGACTACAGATGTACTGATCTGCATGTTAAAGAGCTCTACTTTGGCCAATATATTTAAATGACTTTCAGATTTGCTACTGGATTCTGCCTGTGTATGCATCCATCTTTTATATGACAGATAGGATATTGCTACTGTGATACTGCATGCTGATTTTTTTTTATGAGATACATGTTTATTCTAGATATGCAGCATTGCCAATTATAACTACTGAAGTTGTATTCCTGTACATTAAAATTTCATAAGATTTCTGTGACCAATCATATGTCATTATTAAACTTTAGACAGACTAAGTGGCAGTAATCCAACAAAAACATGTACGTTTTCAGTGAGAAATCAGTCTTTGCAACACATCCTAAATGTCTGTTTGGATCCAACACAGGGAAACTATGAATGAAAGTCTACTTTTCTTTATAATGAATATTATAAAGCAACATTTTATTTCAAAACCTTATGTTACTTTAATTTTCAGCATGTGAGACAGAAGCAGGCAAGGTTTGCCAGTTTTCATTAGAAGAACACATCCAGCCCTTTAAAGACAACATGGACAAATTCATTAGTCAAGGTAAATAATGACTAGTAATTTAACCTTTCAGAGCTTTATCACAAGAATGTTGTAGAAACAATATTTAGACATGGTGAATGACGTGTCTCTTTATTTTGGAGCCATAGAAATGTGCAGATTAGTTTAATCAGATGGTTTCTTATTTCAAAATAGCTTACCTGTTCTGTGCTCCCTTTCGGAATGCTATTAGTGGCCGTTATTCACTAAGAAAGTTTTCTGAGTTCGTATTCTGTGTTGGAAACAATTTTCCAACATTTGTTTCTTGACAGTTTCATAAACTGGTGCTTTGACTTGTGTCCAGATACATGGTGATATTTTTCAAAGGGCCTGTAAACTTCTGGGTTATTTCATTTGCAGATTGCCTCTGGACAGTCATCTGTTTTGGAAACAAAATCCAAAGAATTTTCTAAAAATGTCCAGGTCACGTTCAGGAAATATAAAAAGAAATGTGGGTTTGTAGGACATAGTTTCTTTTTCATCTTCACTTCATTTTTTTTTCAGTGATTGATCTTTATCATGTCTTTTGTGCAGGCACAATATCATGCCCGCAGAAACATATGCACAAATACACACACTCAAATTATTTAAGGGAAAAAAAAGGACCTCTACTTTGGAAATGAGAAAGTGTCTTTCTAGTGTCTTTAGTAGTAGTAGTAGTACCATGAAATTCTTAACAAATATACTATCAGTATTCTTCCAGAATACTGGAAGACGATACAGATGAGGCCTTTCTATATCAAGTGACTAGTATTTCAAAGAGGCATGCAATTGTGATAATGGAGGATTTAAATTATTCTGACACCTGCTGACTCTGCCAAGAATCAGAAGACTGACAAATAACAGAATAACAGAGTTGGAAGGGACCTCTAGCACCAATCTCCTGCTCAAGCAGGAGATCCTATACCTGTGTTGGCGAACCTATGGCACGCATGCCGGAAGTGACACACTGAGCCATCTCTGCCGGCATGCGAGAGCTCGCCCGGAAGAGCCTCACTGCGCATGCGTGCACGCCGCCACCTGACAGCTGAATGTCAGGTATCTGGCACGCATGCACGGGGGGGCAGCAGACGCATAGTACACGGTGGGGGGATCGCACCCACATACGCATTGCCTTCTGGGTACTGGTACGTGAGGAGCACATGCACAGTTATCGGCACGGGAGCTGAAAATGGTTAGCCACCACTGTCTTATACCAGGGGTCTCCAAGCATGGCAACTTTAAGATTTGTGGACTTCAATTCCCAGAGTTATTCAGCCAGCTTTGCTTGGAGACCCCTGTCCTATACCATTCCAGACTAGTGGCTCTTCCAATCTCTTGTTAAAAGCCTGCAGTGATGGAACTGAAGGCAAGCCATACCATTGGTTGATTGTTCTCACTTAGAAAATTTATCTTTAGTTCTAGATTGCTTCTCTCTTCGATTGGTTTCCATCCATTGTTTCTTGTCTTGCCTTTTGGTGTTTTCGAAAATAGGTTGACACTCCTCCCCTTCTTTGTGATCTTTTGTAGCCCTTAAATTATTCATAAATTCATATAATCTGAATTGGGGAATAATTCCTGGTTTCCCTACCATGTAGCCATCACTGTCTGCTAAGGCTCAAAACTGATTTCCATACTTCCAGGGGTGGGATTCTACCAGTTCGCACCTAGTTGCTAGAACCGGTTGTTAGCATTCTAAGCAGTTTGGAGAACCGGTTGTTAGAAGAAATTACTGGCCTAATCCTGTAAGGAAGGCAGGAAGGAAACATTTTGGTATTGCTTACAGAAACTGCCTCTCCGTTAACCCTTATTACATTCTTGGCAGGACTGGACTTCCTCTCTCAGGAATGTCTCTGGAGTTTCTTTCCCCTCCTTTGCTGGTACTTTGCTTGTGTGGAGTGACCATTCAAAGTTACAATGGCACTGGAAAAAGTGACTTATGACCATTTTTCACACTTACGACTGTTGCAGCATCCCCACAGTCATGAGAGGCCATGTGAGGAGATGTGTGCCTCGATGTGAGTGATGTTGAATTGACCATGCCCAGCCAATAACATGACCACCAAGCCATGTCCACCCAGTCACATGACCACCAAGCCACGCCCACCAACTAAGCCATGCCCACAGAACCGGTTGTTAAAAAATTTGAATCCCACCCCGGAGAGTTTCCGGTTTGTCGGCTTCGCGAGCGGTAGGGATTCGCGAAGCTGCGCGATCCCTGCCGCGCTAGCCGTTTTGGGGCTCCGACCCGGACGGGTGCGGAGCAAGGCTGCCCTGCAGGGGTAGCTGAAGGTAAGGGGGATCCGGAGGAAGGGTTTGGGGGTGTTGCAGACCCCCTCCCTGGCCGGCAGAACCCCCTTTTACCAGGACGGTGCAGCGGCGGTCCGCAATGGCCGCCACAAAGAAGTTGACAGCCGGGCAAGTATGCGCTGGAGGAAGAAGAGAAAGTTATTGAAAGTGAAAGTTCTTCTTGGTCGACCCAGGGCTTTGAGATTTATCTAATTTAATTCCTGGAAAAGATGGTTTTTTGATGATTTTCCACAAGAGAAAAAAAAAGCGGCTATTTTGAGTGCTGAAAGGAAAGTTTACTCTCCCTCCCGACGGAATTAAGCCGGAAGGGAGAGGATAAAGAAAATATATAAATTTGGATCTTGTTGGAGGAGATGCCTTGAAGACTTGAGGACAGAAATATAATCTTAATAAGGCTTTAAAATATAGATTTGGACTCTTTTTTTTTATTTGTTTGATACCACCCCTGGAAGAGGAAGGGGGAATTTTGGCTTGCTTGGATTTATTGAGGATTGTGGATTTTGGGATTGTTTTGCCTTTCTCTCGGAATATTTGGTTGGTGTAAGAAGAAAGAGGAATAAAGAAAAGAAAAGATTTATTTATAATGGCTTTCCTTTTTGAAGACCTGAGGGATGAATATGAGCAAACAAAAGCAGCCTGCAAAGATGGCATGGAAAAAGCTTTTCTATTTCTAGAAATGGCGCTGGTCAATTACCAACAGACAATGGAACAGATGGAAACGGAAGAAGAACAACAAGGAAGAGACGAAGACGCCATCTTCATTGAATCCCAAAACTTATCTAAGGAAGAAGGAAGGAAGAGAGCAAGGAAAATGAAGGACTTAAGATCTAAAAAAACATTTGAGAAAGAGAAAAATATGATGCAAAGTAAATATAATGATAACAAACAAGAGAAAAAGGGAACGCTACAGAGAAGGGATCCCAGCAAGGCAGAGGTTAGAAGAAGAAGGGGGGGTAGGAAGATTTGGTGGGGGAAGAAAGAAAGGGGAAAGGCGGAGAAAAGCCTCAAAGCTTTAAAATTGGATGGGAGAAGAGGGATTTTTTTTAGAGACAAAGGATGAAATATAAATTTCTGTAAGAAAGATTCTGCTAAGGTACAGAAGATGGTATTGTAACATTTATATTTGAAATAGTAAATTAGAATGGTTTAAGATTTAATAAGAAATTAAAATGTTGAAGTTTTTAATAATGATTGATTTTTAAAATGTAATAAAATATCGAAGGAAAGGAGGATACAATGTATTTAAACATTTTTGGTGGATAGAATGTACCAAGCAGAACCAAATTGGGTATTTGTTATGTTGAATGTTAATTTTACTAACTTAGGGGGAGGATAGAAAGGCATCATACTCTGATTAGTGATTTCAGGAGAAATTCTTTTTATTATAAGAAGAGATAGAGGGATAATGAATGGGCAAAAGATACAAATTTAATGATTTAATTAAGATGGATTAAATAAGATAGAATTGTGAAGAGTGATATGCGCTATTATTTTAGCCCATGCAAAGAGAGGTAACTGGGGCCAAGGTACTTTACTAAAAGATTTTTTATGTTTGTTTGTGTTTGTTTGTGTTTTATGAGAATACTGGGGAAATTATTGTAGAAAGACAGGGAAAGATTTAATATGTAATGATTTGTTTGTTGTTGAAACTTTTAATAAAACTTGTTTTAATAAAAAAAAAAAAAAAAAAAATTTGAATCCCACCCCTGCATAGTTCCCTTTACTTATCTGTCACAGTTAAAGAAACAGTAGGAACCCCAATGGAAAGAAAGGGGCTCTTTTCCCAATTGTATCATATCTCCATCTGATTTCAACTCTTTCTCTAGCCTCTTCTCCTCTCACTCCCCTTAGAAACATTCCTCTTGGCAGTTTTTCCCACCTGGAAAAACTCTGTTATAGAAAGAAAAGTACCACAAAGGACATGGATGTGTTGATTGGAAAGGGAAGCAGTGATCCTATATACGCTCTTCTTGTCAGATAATTCTCCCATGCAGATGTCATTTCCATTTAATATCTTTCCCAGCAGAGTATTATTATTTTCTTAAAAATGCCCTATAGGAGATGTATGACCAAAACCTTTGGTTAATTTCTGTAATTAAAGTAACATTATATAGCTTGGAATATAAAATCCTCTCATTTTTATTTGGCTGGATCAAATTCAAACTTGAAAAAAGTCCGTGCAGGATTTCTCTTTCCCGCCTGAGAATTTGATAGGCTTCAATTGCAATAGGTTTTTCTATGGTCATTTGTTATTGAGGTCGATTTAATCAACGGGTTGCTTCCGCAAGACTGGACACATACAGATAATGGAGAACAAGCAAAACAATGGAAAGCATGCAGAGCACGGCTTCTGAAATTCTTTCCAACCCCTTCATAGGAGGCCCACCCAGGATCACATGACCAGGAGGGCGGAGGGCTTCAGAATGGAGCAGCCAGCAGCATTCCAGGTTGCTATCCAGCCACCTCTCCCATAGGACTAAACGGGAGGGGGGGAATCTCTGCAGCCCCTAACTGGATCCAGTCCATGTTCAAACTTGATATTTCTTTTGCTGGCGTCTCTTCCATACCAAACTAAGACTTGCTCTTTTCACTTTGGCAAGACTTGCCATGCTGACAGACAGACAGACAGACAGACAGATTTTGAGCTCCTTCACGGCATTTCTTTCCAGCATTCCATTGTGGAAAAAATAAATAAAAATGAAAAGGACCACTTT